CAAGAGATGTTTTTCTTATTTTAATATATATATATATATATATATATATATATATAAGAATATACGTGAATATCAAGATTTTAATCTCCCTAATAAATCATACGCGCCAATCGAAATTAACGATTTAGTTCTTGTAAAGAATTTCAATGCAAAATCATTTGAACCACAGTGGAAAAGTCCTTTCCCTGTGATTCGACATGAAAATTTTATAACATATCACATAAAAGAAAATACGGGAATAAAACAGTATCACAGAAGTAATATCAAATCTTTTGTTTTAGATCAAGAAAATGAATCTGAGACGAATCATTTTACTGATACTAGTGATAGTAATTCTACCGTGTCATCTGAATAACGGAGAAAATGAAAAATATTCGATCAAGCAGCTCGATAATGATGAGACTGTTTACCTTGAAACTTTGTCTAAGGAAAAACTCTATCACGAACAATGGAAAATCATAGTGAGATACGACTTAGATTTAGAAAGAAAGCACTTTGTGGAACTTCAAAAGGCGTACCAACAATTAGAAGAAAAATGCGTCAATACGGTCCAAACCCGAAGTTGGACCTGCTCTTCTAAAATTAGAATTCAAAAGAAAATAAATGAATTAGATCATGTAGCAAGCGAATTAGGAAATGTACTACATCTTGCAGACGTTCGAACAAAAAGACCAAGAAACAAGCGTGGACTTTTTGATTTTGCAGGAGAAGTAAGCAAAACACTTTTCGGAATTTTAGACAATACAGACGCGACTTATTATAATCAAGAGTTAGATAAACTTTATAAGAATAAAAGAAATCAAAGAATCAAAGAAAAGGAAAGAAACCTTGTACAATATGTTAAAAAACAAACTAGCATAATCCTCAAAACATTTGCCGGTTACAAAGAACTTGAAAACGAATTTTCACATTCAATGGAATATGTGAACACACAGTTCAATCGTCTCAGAAATCTGAGTCACGCTAACGAACTTAATATCTGGATAGACGAACTGCTTTTAAACTTAAATAACGAAATGCAAAAACTAATTAATGAAATTAGAAAATCGGAAAATTTAATAGTAGACGGCAGACACGGAACTGTGCAACCATATATTCTATTTCCAAAGAAACTTTTCAATGTTCTCAGAAAACACACACATATCGATAATTTTCCTGTACTCTTAGAAGAAAGATATTATACTACTCTTATAGATATAAGCGATGTATATATATCGATATCCTTAACGGAAAAAAGATTGTTAGTACAATTGTTAGTTCCTTTGATAGAAGATAAGATATTAGAATTAACTAGAGTAATATCCCTCCCGAGACACGATTGGTTGAGACAATCTATTATAGATACTACGCAAAAATTTATTTTGTTAGATCCCTATAAAACTATTTTTATGCCTGTAAATGAATTAGAATTAACAAAAACAAAAGAGATAGGTGATTATCAGCTACTAAAAAGGACTTATCCGGATTATAAAACGGGAATAAAAGATAATTGTCTAAGCGAAATACTTACAAAACACGAATCGGAAAAATGTACAACAAAGTATATGCAAATTCAAAATACGTTGTGGATTCAGCTCCACATAAATCAAGTTTGGATCGGAATTGCACTAAAAGACCTAAAGAAGAAAATTTGCATATTCTCTGTTCAGATAAAATTCCTCGTAGCGCTCGAATCTATCAAAATTTCATACTCCATTTAGAACCAGACTGTACAGCAATTTCCGATACTGCAACCTTAAAACCTGAAAACCTAATCAAAGCTACAATTGAAATTCATCAAACTATTAAATTAACATCACAAGAATCACTTGACAAAATTTTTACAAAACATAATCTAACAGATATATCTATGGACTTAATAAAAGAAACACACATTGATCCAGAACGTTTGCAAACTTTTGGCAAAACTTTCAATGAACTAAATACTATCGCCGACCAACTATTAGAAAATTGTAGATCTATCACTTGGAAAGAAAAATTCATGTATTATCTTCAGCTAGCAGGATATATAGCCCTTGGGGCTTCGTCCTCTTTGTTTTTCTTTACAAAATCGAACTTTTCTCTAGTGTTATCAATCTTTTCAAACAATTGATCGGAAATTGTTATAATCATTGTAGTTTTGGAAATCGTGCACAACATGTAATAAGCTATATACTGCGAATAACGAACCTCGAACTACTAATTCTGCGAGTACCGAAGTAAATTCCGATGTACTACGGAGACTTGTTCGTCCATAACATAAAATTTGAGTGTACCTCAAATTTTTCTATAAGGGGGAAGGTGTGACCATTTTACGTGTAACGCCTCGCATAACTATATAATGGTTAATTAGAATTTTAAGAAATAGTTTTAAGTAATAAGTTCCCAGGCGGAGACTAGCAAGCCTCGCGAGATATCTCGATCCGAATCTGATCACGTATTGTAAACATTAAACAAAACCAAGCCGAGGAATTTGTCTTCCGATCGACTCTCACGAAGGGAGTATAATAAACAATGAGCTCTCACGCACGGATCACGTGTTCGCCATAGCTCTCGGCGCTTCAAAGAGACCGCCGTAAAATTCGAGAGGCAAAGACCGCCGTACGTTAATATAAACAAGATAAGAAAATCATGCGCCGACACCGAAATCTAAACAATCGATAACTACTGATCTAGAAATCGAACGCAGGCGGAGTCATTCGCCTCTGAGAGATCCGCGAATGAAAGATCGATAATTCGGCAGAGATCATGGAGGGGATAATTAAGGGACGAATTGAATGATAGAGATCAAAGAATCCCCACTCCCTGATCTCCGAACAAAAATCCCGGATCTTGGATCCGGAGCCCAGTTCTGAAGCAGTTCTAAATCAAAGTTTAAATCAAAAGTCACGTCAAACATTGCGAGCGCAAATACTTATAAATTGTAAAAAGTTGTACTTTGAGTAATACTTTGTGAGAAAAATAAAGACATTTTTAAGAATTGTTGATTACGATTCTTACAATGCTGCAGCAAAGAAGGGGATGCGCACAACAGCAGCGGGGACTTGTTTGAACAAGTTCCTACTCAGCGTTGCCGTGGAACTTGCGGACACGTGACGTCACGCAGTAGAGAGGTAGAGAGGTACGACTCGCGTCGTACTCTTCTCACCAGTCGTAAATCACCCCCTTTACCGCGTGACGTCACGCGTCCGCAAGTCCCACGGTAACGCTGTCCCTACTGCTGTTATGCGCATTCTATCTACCCGCTGCAGCATGCTGGAAACGTCTTACTTTTAAGCTGTGTCATCATTGATAATTGCAAGTCTCCTGTGAAGTTGTGAACACACATAATGAGTGTTGACGAATTTACGTCAAGTGAAAAAGATTTCGATTCGTGTGATAATTCGTCGCAATCCACCGTCAATCACGAAAGCATGCTATGCACGTGGTCTCATCTTCGCGATTTTTTTTAATTTAACACTCACGATAAAAAACCGGAAAATTGTCATTTCAGTGCATCTTGTGTAAACCCCCCCAAAAATATATATCGGCGTCAGTGTCTTCAAACTCGAATTTGAAAACGCACATCAAGGTAAGTTATTAATATAAAAATATATGTACATATTTTCAATATAATTGATTTTATTAAGATTGCTATCGAATCGCGAAAAGGATCGTCAGGGAGGAACAAACATTTGAATCTTTACTTTTTATGTATCTTTGTCTCGACATCTTATAAAGAAATATTTATTTTTTAACGTAATGCATAATTTAATTAATTAATAATAAAACTATCCAAATTCTTGAAATTAAACTATGGTATTCAATATTTAACTATCATGTAAATAATCTTGTTATACAGCATATACATCATAGTAACTTGGACGATTTTAACAAAGCTTTGAAAAATGGACTACAAGCAGGTAAAAGAAATTTGATACACAAACAATTTGATGAATCAAAGTTAAAGCAAAGAAGATTGGATAGTTTAAATAAAAATAATTTTTTAACTAAGCAAAAGTTTGACCAAGCCACTTTAAAACTCATTATAAATACTGCATCTGCATTCTCACTTGTCGAGCACGAAGCATTCATTGAATTTTGTAAAACAACAATTCAGCAAACGCCTATGACTCGCAAAACTCTCATGACGCATATCGATAAAACGTTCGAAAAAATGAAAATGGACCTGATCGAAGAGCTAAAGAAAAAAGATTGGGTGTGTGTAACAGCAGATTGCTGGACGGCAGTTAGAAGGTAGTCCGATCTATTTTTTATAGACAATTGTATTATAAATCGTCTGTTTTTATTGGCCACTTGATCGAATTATTATATTTTCATCGTAAGATCCTACTTGGGGATGACAGTACATTGGTTGGATCATGATAGTCTAGAGAGAAAGTCAAAAGGTCTTGCGTGCCGTCGACTTCAAGGAAGACATACGATGTTCTTGCAAGAGCAATTGAATTGATATTAATTGAATTTAATATTCAAGATAAGACAACATGTGTTGTAACGGATAATGCTAGAAATTTTGAAAAAGCTTCCAGGTAAGTAAATTTAGTGTCTCACGAGTTTAATTACGTAGGAATATACATTCACATTTAACGGAAATTTACAAAATAAATAAGAAATTTTGTAATTAAAAAAAATAATTAATATTATAGAATCATAATACACTATTACTATTTACAGAGTGTACAGTGAAATTGAAGAAGAAGATAAAATAGAAAACGAACCTGAAGAAGATCTAGAATCGGTTGAAATATCGGAATTTTTGGCTAATAGTGAAGAAAGCTATAGATTACCACCTCAACAGAGATGTGCTTCTCATACATTGAATTTAGTTAGTACCGTTGATACGGCTTGTGCTGAGAAAGATACTAATTATAAAGGAATTAGCAGAAGGACATTTGCAAAATGTCAAACTATTTTTAACAAACAAAATCAATCATCTGTCGTAGCAGATATGGGTAAAAAAAGTCTTAGAAAATATTTAAAAGTTCCAAACACTACAAGGTAAGAATTAGTGATTGACATAAGAAATAAGTATATCAATACTTCGGAAATAATTAATATGCATGGGAAATAATATATATTTTTATATGTATACATTAGGTTGGCCTATATTTTGTAAATATATTTATGTTTCCTTATTCCAATTATCCTTTAATAGATAAAAAAAGTACACAAGATAAACCTAATTGGTTACTATTGTAGCATGTCTACTAGCACATGCCTTGGAATTTAATATTGTTTTTTATGGGAACATTTTTGTTTTTTTCGTGTTTTTTTGGCCACTCTAATATATGCGTATATATGTATATATGTATATATATGTATATATATGTATATATATGTTACATGTTTATATTATATAAAGGTGACAATTATGTGTTCTATGTATAAACACAATAATATTTTTATTAAAGCTTTTTGGTTTGTTATTGTGCATGGTTTGGTTTTAACTTTTTACTTGCATGTAATTTAGATGGAATTCGTTTTACGATGCTATAATGGAGATAACAGATAATATTAAACAAGTGAATGATCTAGCTTCTCTTCCTTAAATATTCCCACTTTAACTCCTACTGAAATTGACTTTCTTAAAGAATATTGCACGGTAATGATTTTGCTTTCGTTTTTTTAAAATTAATACAAACTTAATATACTAATTTTATCTTACATTTTAGGTAATGAGACCTGTTGCTAAAGGTCTAGATATTTTACAAAGAAATAAGCATATATTTATTGCCTACGTTAATATCAATCGAAGAGCATTTACATCAAAAACTAAGTGAGGTGCTGTATGTAAAACCATTAGTAAATGCCCTCTTAAAAAGTATTCGCAAAAGGTTTGTTGTAACGATTATTTTATAAGTAGAAAAAGAATAGTATATAGATTAAGAATGTGTGCTTTATTGGATTTAGCTCGAAAAATAAGCGATAACATTTAATTAATTTTTAACTAATAAATAGTTTTCCGTTTTATGAAACTTTAATGAATATTTTTAAGGATGATTCAAAGTTTTGGCATCAAACTGAAGTTTTAAATAAAATATTTATAAAACTATACAAGAGATAAAATATATAATACAAGAGATACAAAATTTTCAATTCCTATACAAGAGATAAGAAATGTTTAAATACGTCAATAATTTTATTGTTATTCTTCTTGTTACACTATATAATATGAAAAAATATATCAATATTGTTTTAGATTTCACTATCTTTATGAGTCTAACTATCTGAGGATTGCTGCCTGTTTGATACCAGATTTTAAATTGCGCTGGATACAGGATGAAGACGAAAAAAAGGAGGTTACTACACTTTTAAAATCGAGTGTTCAGGAGTTTAACACCAACCATGAAGTTAATTCGAGTACATTCAAAGAACAAATCTTGTGCAAATTTGACAATTTTTTTTATTTAATAACAAGACGCTAGACCAGAACCGAAACGAAAATACGATTATAACTGATCACATTATTCAAACTTACTTGTCAACCGATATATTTGCGATGGAAAAAGATTTTCCTAAGGCACTCAAACGTGCTTTTATAAAATATAATACATCAATACCATCTTCAGCTCACGTTGAACGGCTATTTAGTGCAGGAGGACTCGTTTTTGATAATCTTCGAGGAAAAATGTCTGATAAAAATTTCGAAATGGCTTTATTACTTAAATTTAATAAGTTTTTGTAGCAAAATAAAATAAATATGTTTGTTTGTCGACAAAAAATATGTGTTTGTAAAACATATATTTATAAATGTATCTATATATCTATAAATAAACAAAACAGATGTATCTATATTTTTATAATAAAATATATAAAGAATATTTTTAAATAAAGTGTATATTTATTTTTTCCAATATTTATAAGATTAAAACACTGTAAATGTTTGTAATTATTTGTAAGATTAAAACACTAAAATATCATGAAAATAATTTAACTTTTAACTTTTTAATTTCTTTTTATTAACTTAACTTTTAATCAATTAATTTCATCATGGATTAACTTATATCTTAACTAAATTAAATTTTTACGGCCTTTAACTGCAACTTAACTTAGTTAAAAAAAAAATTTAACTTACCTAACCCTGAAAATTTCAAATAAAAGACGAAATAGGCAATTTTCATTTACTTTAATTGAATATAATCTGAATTTCTTTGTACTAAGTATTTCATCTAATCAAACTGCTTATTTTTATAAGCAGACAAATATTGTGTTGTCCTATTGTGTTGTACATTCAAAGTTACCTGTATTCAAGCAAATTATAATTTTGTTAAAACAACTAAATTGTTTTTTGGTATAACCTAATTATTAACCTAATTATATCTATTGAAACATGATATCTTCTTACATTAATCAATATTTCATTGACAGCCCGTGACCGGTGCATATAGTTGAATCAAATACTATTTTGTTACTTCAACAACTTTTTTTTCTCAGTGTATGTATTAAACTGTGACAATTACATGTAATGCTTCAAAAGAGCACATATACACGTATTTATAAAAAAATTCCTTTTTCTTATAATAATTATGTTATCAGCAAACAATAATATATTTTACTTATACATGCTAAAGAGAGCAAAGTAGTATAAAATGCTAATAAAAGTATATAAAAACTCTTAACTATTAGGAGCTCCGATTTGTTATTATCTATATTTCAAAACTAATAAATTACATAACTCGCATCAATTTTTACTTTGCCGGTAAAATCACTTTGTTGTCTACACATCAAGTGCGCTTCGTTTGTTTTCACAAAAAAACAACCCGTTTCGCGAACAACCGTTGATTCAAGCGATTTACAAAACAACAGGTAAGTAGTGCCGCTTCCTTTGCGCAAGAAATGCTCTTTGGTCGGTTAGGTTGTTTCCTATTTAATCCTGTTCTTTTACCGCACCACTTCAACCCCGTAGATAACTGAGTGAACATTAGCTGTCGGTCAACACAATGTCGAAATATTCCGTTCAAAAAACAAAAACTATTTTTTGACGGTTGCATAATTTACATGACAATATCGCCTTCCATCCCTATGGTATAAAGTATATGCAAATCAAACGTATATAGAAATACAATTACCATTTTCTTTTTGTCATCTCTCCGTTTTGTGCACCGCACGGGCGCACCTTTCGGTGCAGCGCGCTTTTGTCGCACCGCGCCAATAAAACAAGCTCGTCCTCGTCGTCGTCGTCATCGTCATCGTCGTCGTCGTCGTCGTCGCCGTTGTGGTCGTTGCGTCGTCGCGACCACGACACAGCACGTTCGAGAACGCGCAGTCGCGCGCCGGTTTTCGGGTGGGAGGTGTGATCAGCTGCGAACACACGAGGATTCCGAAATGTTCGCGCTGCACAGGTTTATATTGTAAGTATCAGAGAAAAAGAGTTTTGTCTTTCTTGATTCTCTCGATTCCTGCGTCTCGTTGAAAAATTTGAGGTGTGTCGCGACAAACAACGCGACCGATCAGCGTGCCGTCAACTGACAACGCGCGCGTGAATACACATACGTAAAAGCGGAACGACACGGACCGGGCAAACCCTTTGCGGGTGCACCGAAGAACGGTAGTTTCAAGGAAAGATGGATCGCGTCGTGTGTAACCTGACTCGCGGTCCCGCAATGCAGTGCTGAAAATAGGAACGCGCTCCGGTGACCAGCGATCGATACCTACATAGATAGTTTCTGACGTGTCGCGGCAAGGCCGAAGGCGAAGATGTTTTTCGTCTCTTACCGGTAGCCAGCTTTCCGGTGAGTCCCTCCGCTCCGGGTTCACTCATGACCTTGGTTATTCCGAATTGGAGGAATCCTCGCTCCGCGATGTTCTTTGTTCGCCGGTTTGAGATGAGGTTTCGCATTAATCATGGCGCTCTCTAGGGAAAAAGTAACTTTACTCTCACTTCCTTTCGGAATACGCGCTTGTTGGGGTTTCTGTACACGGGCACGAATAATCTCTCTCAGGAATCCTGAGTCGATTATCGGGAATTATCGGTTGACTATCGCTTGTCAGAATCTTCGAAGTTTTCGTAGAGTAAGTACATACGTATAAATGAATTTTGACTAATGCTCGTTTTTCAAATGACTTTAAATAGAAAGCAAATTGATCACTTTTGTCTGTGAATAAAACAAGTCTTATCTGTTACGACTGTCATTTTCCTCAACTTTCAAGTGACCTTATTATTTATTGTTATATCCGAATATAGTAACACATAGTACTGTCTCTTCGAGAACATGTGTTTAGTTCTGCAAGTTTTTGAAATTTTTTGTATAAAATCGCGTACAAAATAACGTCATCATTTCTCGAAACAATTGTCGCGATTTTGTCACAAAATATAAACCGATGAAAAATAACGGACTACAGATCCCAATAACTTAAAGGTGCGGTAAAAACGATGCCTGTCGCTCCGGAAACTGTCGTACCAGGGCCGTGTCATGTGATTTGCGCGCAATACCGCAAATAAAGCGAATGTCAAATTAGAAAGAAGGTCTTGCTCGTAAAACTCTGAAGGTCGACCACGAAAAAACATACATATGCAGAAATTGTTGCGAAATTCTGTGAACTCGCAAAAAGCTGACAAGTTTCAAAATAGTTTATTGATACTTTAGCGCGTGTTAAATAATAATAAAATTATAAGTATATAATAATGAAGAGAAATACAAACTCATTAAATTTAAATAAAAATGGCATGTAAACACGCAAATGTGTTTCTGCAATTTTATAGCGTAAATTTTGAGTAAAATAAAAAATAAAAGTAAAATACATAAAAAAAATACGTATGAAGAAAAATATTATTTGCAAGGACAATTACTTATTTTTTGTTTTGCTGAATTTGCTTCTTTGTCGCTATTATCGCGATTATAATTGCACGTGACACATATCATTAAAATTATCTACACGTGGTTCGAGAGACAATCGATAGTAAGAAAACGATAATATATCGCATTATTACATTGCATCTTGCCCGAAGTATAAGGTGAACGTTTGTTAGATGCACTTTAAGTTATTTATCGGTTTATACAACAACATTGTGCGCTTCGCTCCCGATCCGAATTTATGATATTGTGTTCTATGCGCGTCGCGAGATGTATCTAACCGATTATTTATACAAAGTTATCAAATGCCGCTTCTTAATGCAACAATTTTCTCAGCTGTTTACGTATGTACTATATCATTTTATAAGTGACATGATATAATGTGAATCAGATATCAGACATTAGATATCGTTCTGAAAGTTATTTCAAAACATTTCTAATTGAATATAAAAGTTTCTGATTAATTTAACGAGACTTACTGAAAGTTTTATCACATGCCCCAGAAATATATATTTTTTTTATTAATCTATTTCCGCAAATAAAAAAATTTCAAAGGTTAGATATTAAAAATTATAAAATATCTCTTATTTATTGATATTTATTTTCGACTATTCATTTGCGTAAATTGCTGACCTGTTTATGGTGCTTTTTAAAGAGATATATAACTCTCACACTTTTGATTCTCACACCGATAAAATTTTTAAAAATAATGATTACGTAGAAGCAATTCGAAACTTTAATAAACAAAGGTGTTATGGCTATTGAAGCAAACACAGATGTCGATGTGTGAATAGTTGAATCAATTTATTGAAACTTAGTGCAAAACGTTTTCGACCTTGTATTAGGTCTTTCTCAATGCATTTAAAATACTGTAGTAAAATACGTCGCACAGTGCTGTCAAGAATGTTCAAGTCGCACAAGCAGACCCGACCAACATTTTACAAATGGAATAAAGCGACTGTCGGTCAGACTGTCGGTCAGAAAGACCTAATACAAGGTCGAAAACGTTTTGCACTAAGTTTCAATAAATTGATTCAACTATTCACACATCGACATCTGTGTTTGCTTCAACATTTGTATATCGACGTTTGTATGTATATGTATATGTGTACGTATATATATATATATATATATGTACACACACACACACACACATAGAGAGAGAGAGAGAGAATAACTGTGCTTTAAGCCATCGCAAAAGCTTCGGGTTACGTTACATTTAAAATCGAGTTGTCTTATCTCACTTATGACTGACGTGTTATGTATTTATAGAATCCATTAAAATACTTAGAAAGAGATGGACATTTACAGTATCCGCATGTTTCTGAGTAAAGCTCAGTTAATGTGCATCGCAAAAATATGCATGTACGTACAACATAAGTCGACCATGTTTTGGAACGCGGTATATTTTAAATTATTTTGATGACAATGAGGAAATTGTTAACACTAGCTACTTTACGTGGAATGCTACGTGTACGCTAAGTGTACTATGTGAATCGCTTAACAGGTCGGAACTGGCTACTTGATTATAATCACAATGTGGGACAGCGTAAATGTTGGGTTTCGTCGCATCTCTCTTTCCGCAACACGTATATGTACAGTATGATTTAAAGTTTAACGCTTATTTAAAGTTTTTTCTCGAATATTGATAAAAATTAGAATTTAATGCGTCGTTAAAGAAACAAGCACATTAAAGCGCATTAGTAAACACTGTTGATTACGGATATGTAACTTTAAAATTTAAAGCAACATAGCTTGTTTCACAACACGGGAACTCGTCCGGCTGTAGTAAGCGCTTACATTGACGCTAAATGTGGCGTGAATGCTAACGTGATCTCGATATAAGAGATATCAGCGTGTATATTCGAAAGTTAAAATGAAACACATGCCGTCTAATGTTGACAGATTTCGTACGATCATTTCTTTAAACCTGGCTTTATGCCATGAGAAAATAATAATAGCATAACTTGCTTTGGTTCTCTCAAGCGATAAAAAAAACTGGCAAGCAATTTTATAGACATAATATGTTGTAGAAAAATTGTCGAAGAAATTGACGATGATTTCTCTCGTGTAAGAAGGTCGTTTCTTCTTGTTTCCGAGAACTTTTGCTCTTTCTGAGAATTTTTGTTCTCTTTGCAGAAAGAAAATATCGAGTTGGTATACACAACGTTACAGTTTTCTACTTGTAACTTCATTGATCGCGCGACGTATCTATCGTAACTTTATATACGATATACACTCAACCGTAAACAAAACTTCAGTTCTAATATTTGATGAGTTCTTATCTAATCGTCGTCGTGTTTGCCAGATCATATATATAGTACCGATTTTAGATTAGTATCGATTTTAGTATTGATTTTATGATTAGCAATGAAAAGCGAATGATTGTATAAGGAATATTAATCGAGAGGAGTAGTGTGTGTCAACACGCGATGGTTTCTTTCTCGAATATTTTTAATTCACTTAAGTTTTCAAGTCTCTCTCTCTCTCTCTCTCTCTCTCTCTCTCTTTCTCTCTCTCTCTCTCTCTCTCTNTCTCTCTCTCTCTCTCTCTCTTTCTCTCTCTCTCTCTCTCTCTCTCTCTCTCTCTCTCTCTTTCTCTTTCTAGTGAAGCGAGATTTTTTTCCAGAGAATTTTGAGTATTTGATAAACATAAGTGTGCTCGCTGTATTTACCAGACGTAATCTGAAACCTGTCTCTTGCCAAGGTTACTAGTGGGAATCACGAATGTATACAATGATACGTGATAAAAATGATTATTATCTGCCAAATTCTATTTGACTCAATAACGCTCGATATCATTTGAAATCATCTTTGAGTAAAGTCTTATTCATGTCGATTATTACTAATTAATTATCGTTTAAATTTGTGCGAAAACGAATAAAAATCAGATAATAATAGAATTTTGCATTTCCCACGAAACAGCTTTACACATATTGATTCTCACGCGTACGAAGTCATTAATTTTACTTATGTAAATGACTCAGAGATATAAATGACGTTATTATCTGTAATGATCGGTAAAGGCTCTAATAATGTACGGCAGAATTCGGTCGTAAAGTCGTAATTTTATCGACGCTGAAAAAAAACATTTCTCGTTCTGTCTCGTCACATTTTGATGCGATTTAATTTGATGCATTTTTTAATGAAAAATATTGTTCCGCGTAACACGTTTTAGATCGATCAGTTGCCGAAATTGCGGAGGACCATGGACGCGAACAACGATTCCACCTTCGCATATTGCCTCGAAAGATGTTCAACAGAGAGACATACACGAGGTTTCCGGAGATGTGATACCGATCAATATGGTAAAAGGTATTGGACATCTCAGAGATCCTCGACTTAACAAGGTATTATCTCTCTCTCTCTCAATCTCTCTCTCTTTCTCTTTATTCAAGATGCTTGAGTGAATATAATCTGAATGTACTTTTGCTATATTATAACAGGGCTTGGCGTTCACGTTAAAAGAAAGAATAGCGCTAGGTATACATGGATTGCAGCCTCCCAGATTTAAAACCCAAGAGGAGCAGTTAGCTCTGTGCAAAGCTTCGGTGATGAAATACACGGAGGATTTAAATCGATATTTGTATCTCGTAGAACTACAGGTAAACACAACATTCTTCTGTCTCAGTATACTTGCCGCGCATTTGTTCGTAAATTCCTCAGGATCATTTTTAGGAAAGAAACGAAAGGTTATTTTTCCGCCTGTTAAGCGAAAATATCGAGCAAATGATGCCAATTGTCTATACACCTACCGTCGGTTTGGCCTGCCAGAAATTTGGTGTGATATATCGCAGGCCTCGAGGACTTTTCATCACGATATACGATAAAGGCCATATTTACGAAATCTTGAATAATTGGTTAGTATTAATACATGAATAATTCTCAAAAAACGTAATCTCCGTGGACTGTAATCTCCGTATTGACATAAAAAACATAGATAAGTTTTTTATATTGCATAGTTACGTATTCGTATTACGAATGGTGACTTAAAATGGTATGAAAAAACATAATTTATTGTTATCCGTTAGTTTAATAATAATTATTTTTTATCAAAAATGAAAGTTGAAATTTACGCGTTCACAGAGAATCACTCACATGATAGACTGAATTAAAGTTTTAGTTTTTTTATCAGATTCTCTTTGCAACTTGTCTTTTACTAATTGTTTTTTAATTGTACAATTAAATATAATTATAAAAAGAGAATAGGATTGAACACATTCTGTAGAAAACTAATCGATAAACGTGCGTTTGATGTTTGTTTCGCTAAAAATAGATTTGCCTGCGTAATATAACACGCACACATCACATTCCGTCACAGTGCAAAGCGAGAAAGAAAGATTCATACATAAGTGTATTGTTCATACATATTTTCATTTCATACATATGTTGCACATTCATATAACATATGGCGTATTTTTGCACCATCTCCAATAGAATTTTTATTTATTAACATTTTTATTGCATTATCAGGCCGGAGCAAGCGGTGCGCGCCATTTGTGTAACAGACGGCGAGCGAATTTTAGGTCTAGGTGACCTCGGAGCGTGCGGTATGGGTATCCCCGTTGGAAAACTAGCGCTTTACACAGCGTTGGCTGGCATAAAACCGCACCAATGCCTACCAATCACGATTGATGTAGGCACCAATAACGAGCAACTGAGAAATGATCCTCATTATATCGGTCTGAACAAGCCGCGCAGTCAAGGTGCTGAGTATGACGAATTAATCGACGAGTTTATGGCTGCTTGCGTGAAAAAGTACGGACAAAACGTTCTTATTCAAGTAAGCTAACATACAGCCGTGTACATTTTTGAGACATTCGCAACATATCTTGCGTGAGTTTTTAATTTGTTTCTCAAGAAAATAATTTTTGACAATCGCGCGTTTTACGTTATATTTCAGTTCGAAGACTTCGGAAATCACAATGCATTCCGCTTCCTCGACAAATATAGAAACAAGTATTGCACGTTCAACGATGATATACAAGGCACGGCCGCAGTTGCAGTGGCCGGAATTCTGGCATCGAAAAGAATAACAAAGAAACGAATGTCCGATAACAAGTTTGTCTTCCTTGGTGCTGGAGAGGTGTGTTAAATTTCAATTAAAAATTACAGTATCGATAACTATATAAAACGTGTTAGAAATACAGTGTTTTCTTTTGCTCTCAATCGTAGGCGGCCATCGGAATCGCCGATCTTTGCGTTAAAGCAATGGAGGCTGACGGTTGTACCGAGCAGCAGGCGCGCGATAATATTTGGATGATGGATATCGATGGATTGCTCGTAAAAAATCGACCCGAGGGCAATTTAGAAGGCCACAAGATCTGGTACGCAAAGGATCACAAAGTGATGAAGACGCTTATCGAGGTGGTGAAGGAGATCAAACCTACCGTTTTGATAGGTAAGTGATTCTTTCTTTTCGAGACGAGAAAAACTATTGCATAGACGTGTCTGTGCAGGTGCTTCGGCAGCAGCAGGTGCATTCACTCCTGAGGTCCTGAAAGAGATGGGAAAGAACAACGAGAGACCGTTGATCTTCGCTCTGAGCAATCCGACCAGTAAAGCCGAATGTACGGCGCAGCAGGCGTATGATCACACCGATGTATGAATATACAATTTACTTGTTTTAAGTCGTATAAGAAAATAATAATATTGATTTCTACATGTTCTCGATACACTAAATTGGCTCGTTGGACAAAACTTGTGCTTGTATTTCAGGGTAGATGTATATTCTCTTCCGGTTCGCCATTCGGTGAAGTAAAATACGGCGGAAAGATGTACAAACCTGGGCAAGGTAATAACGCATACATTTTTCCGGGTATTGCTCTGGGCGTTATTGCGACCGGTGTTCATCATATCACCGAAGATCTCTTCTTGATTTCGGCGCAAGCTGTTGCCGATCACGTGAAAGACGAGGATCTCGCAAGGGGCAGTCTGTATCCTCCGTTGAGCACAATCCGCGAGTGCTCTATCGACATCGCGGTCAGGATCGCCAATTACGCTTATGCCAAAGGTTGAGTGTTTTTACGCGCGTTGCTTGCAAAATTAAAATACTGGTTTTACTTCGTATCGAGAATGTGTTATCTTTTAGGTGGTTTGGCAAGCGAATATCCGGAGCCAAAAGACAAGCGACAATTCATTATGAGCAAAATGTACAATGCCAACTATGACAGTCCACTGCCAAATGTGTACGAATGGCCGGGTGATTATGCCAAACCGCGCATCTTGCCGGAAAAGTAAGTACGATGAACCCAACGAGTGTGACATCGAGTCCAATTTCCTAATCACATCTATGTAGAGAATGCATTGCATTAGCAAAGTAATTAATTTTAATTTTTGTTACAAGCTGGAAAATCGGAAGTAGTTAGATGAATTGAATTTAGTCGAGTTAAATATAGTACTGCAGCAAATTCTATAGACAGCGTGAACAAGTAGGTTTTTTGGTCAAATCAGATTGCAGTGAAAAGAAAAGTGCTTCTTGACAATTTGACAAAAATCCTCCGTTCGATATGACAAACTTGGACTTTGCATGCTGCTTTCTTTATTTTAATTCTCTCGCATCTTCTTTTACGATTATAATGCTTTATAAAGTAACTAAATTATATTGAATTAGCTATTTTGTTTTGCAAATGTTTGAGAATGTTTTATTTGCAAAGAATAATATATTTGCTGATGCAAATAAATCGTAAAATTAATCTAGATTTTAGGCTTGTTTCCTCTAATAACGATCGCTTAGTTCACTCATTATTCCTTCACAGTGTATATCCCTTCTTGATTCGCTGTTTTCACGATGAAAGCTGGTGTGAAAACCGCTGAAGTTTTACTTCATCTTTTTCAGAGACACGGTAGAAATCCGCCACGATTTAAAACATCTGTAGCGGATTTCAAGGACCGGGAATATATTCGGAGGCTGTCATTATGTTTTTAAATGATAAAATAAAAACTGTCGATGTCTTTACAACTCATACTCAATATCATTTCATGACATAGCAAAACGGACTTGCAAAGTTTTAACGTAAGAGAGAGAGAGAGAGAGAGAGTGAGAGAGAAAGAGAGAGAGAGAGGGAGAGAGAAGGGGGAGAGAGAGGGGGAGAGAGAGAGAGAGAGAAAGAGAGAGAGAGAGAGAGAGTATCTGTGTGTGTGTGTGTGTGGTTATTCTGTCAGTGACTAACTCATACAGTGCTTTTATCGCTGTAATTTGCACGAAATATTAACACACATGACGGCATGACTCGATTGTTGACAACGTTATTGTTGCAATAAGTTAACACTAATAGTACTTTAATGTTCCCTCTCGTGTATGTACCAGTATTAAAAAAAGTAACGGTGTTGTTATAGGGACAATGATTTTGAAAGTAACAAAAACTTATACCATAATTGTATTTTGTAAATTATGTTATTTTAGACATTTCTCAATGTTAAAAATGCCGATACATATGTCACTGGTAAAGTATCAGCAACTTTCTTTATCAAAATATTTTGAATATAATATATTTTGAAAATATAATATATTTTGAATATAATATATTAAACTTATAAACTTTGATTACGAGATTTTACAATTTTAATATTCGAGTAATTGTGTAATATTAAAAAAATATGTGATATATGTTTAGGTCTTCGGTTTTCTTATCTCTGAATGACATAAAGTTATGAAATTCACAAGATATTCTAAAGTTTCCTCTCCTTCACTTCCCTTCCTGAGTTATCTTCGTCGAAAAAAATCGTCCAAACACGAACGCATTTTTGAACCTGCAAAGAAAAATTTTGAAGCATATTTTAATTTGGAAATTGTGTATAAGTATTTAGATACTTATTCGTATATATATTTTTAAAATTTTAAAAAGAAAAATATATACATTGAAACCGATCGCAAAAAAATTTATTTCTTTTTAACGTTGGATCGTGAATATTTTTTTAAAGAAAGTATATTTATTTAATTTCTATATTCTTTTTGTGACTTTCTCTATTACATATATTAAAAATGAGATAACGCGTAAACAAGAAATTAAAATTGCGAATATGATTTTTATGTCTTAGCTGTTTTATAATATATTTTTGAATAATTTACAAAACCTGCTACTATATGTATATATGTGTATATTAAAATATATATTTAAAAATATGTCAATAATATCCCAAAACAATGTTTGTTCCTAAAGGCTCGCGCTTTTTGTAAGTTTAATATAAAGTTCCTCAATGACAAAAAATATAAGTTATTTTTTTCGAAATAAAAAGGAACAATATACTTATTTGTGTTATATTAATATATAGATATTAATATATAGATACTAGATATATTAATACTATGTTTTAGATGTATTTTATCTTTCTGCATGTTGTGTATTATGCAATAATGAGATCTTACGAATGTCATATACATGCTTCTGTAATCGTAACTTGTTTGATAAGCAAAGCAATCTGTATCCCTGATACAAAAACATTCACAAAATTATGTGATGAAATCTTGCACTAAAATGGTGATTTGCACTTATACAGATATATTTTAGGAAATAGATGTAAAAACATTTATCTTTTATAAAATATTTGTAGTTGTTTGCAAAATTACTTTCCAAATACTATTTCGGCAAAAGAATAACAATATGGCGAATCATCTTAGCAGTATATTTGCAAAATTAATTTCAAAAAGAAATTGTCCAATAAGTGAGAAAAAATTTTCAGCTATATGATGTTTAAAATTTGTAGAAATATAATTGCATATGAAGAAATGAACTTAATTCATGTATGTACTTAAGGAAATGCATAACGACTTTTTTGCAATTTTTGACAAATATTATTTACAAAATTTTATTTCGACAAAACTGTTGAGTTATGGCAAATCATCTCAGTGCAATCATTGCAGGATCGTCGTTATTCATGATGCCATTTTTGTGCAATATTTTCGCAATTTGCCTATTAGGGATAGTTTTGGCACGTGTGCAACGTAGACATTTTTGAAGCAACGTTACTTGCGATAAAGTGTTGAACGAAAAGAAAATGGTTACTTATACATTTTGATGTCAAGTTTGCTCAAGCGATATTTCAATTACATCTTTTCTCTGTATAATATATAGTACAAAATAATTTGTTAAGCAGATTAAATAGAAAATTGTCTACAATCGTTCCAATTCTTTTATACATAAGTATCTATAAAAGTGTTGTTGTTTACATTAAAACAACCTGTCGCTTGGTAAACTTGCTAAACGAAATTGCTCTTGCGTAACTAACTGTGTTCTTCTCCCAACAGATTATGACGTGTTGGAGAGTCTAAATGTGAGACGACTACTTTGACATATACATAACTTTATAGTTCTCTTAGTTCTTAGTTTTTTGAGTGGACATGTAGATGTTAATATTATTATATGAGTATGTGATCAATATATATTACTCATATGTGTTTATTAGTATTTATAAAAGCTTTATCACGTTTAAATGTGCTCGCGCGCGTGTACTTATATTTGTTTATTATAATAATTTATTTTTTATAACAATATGTTCCATACAAAAAAAAATATGTAGAACTAACAAAAACTTGCACTTTCGATTTTCGACGTTTACGCTTATCGCCTTTCATGTTTCCCTTGTTCTACAATGCCGTTGTCCATTCTTTGCTATCGCCGAAATTTTACACAAAATCTGTTTTGAGATCAAGTGTATAGACAAGCTGGGATACATAAAAATAGTGAAACGCTGAAATTTATTCTAAAATGCAAGTTTCTGTCCCACCTTGTTTATATTTCATCAGTGATTTATTTCGACATGAATATTCCGATATATTTTAAAGAGTATTTATTTTTTTTAAAGATTCATTTAATATTAATTACAGTGTTGTATCCCCACTAGAAAATAAACAGTGAATATAGACGTGTTAAGTATACATAGTACAGTAGTTCCTTGCTAATGTTCCCATCTTCGGTTCCGCGACAGGAGCGATATCGAAGGAGGTATTGTTTCGAGAATTGCCGGCTGTTATCTCTGATTGGCTCGACTGCGGAGTCATCCTCACCAATTTCTGGAAGTGCTTCACGAAGCTTCGGCTATTGTTCTAGGAACAATATTGAGAGAAAAATTGCGAACATTAGCGAGGAACTACTGTATTCTATAACTACTGCCCAATATTTTTTAAATAGAGTTTAGAACTTTCTGAAACAAAAAGTTTAATACGCGGTGAGACTATAATAATAAATTATAAAAAATTAAAGATTACTAATCATAATGCACATTAGGCGTTCAAATATGGCAAAAAGCAGCAAATGGTGAAGATGATTATTATATAATATTATATTTATAATATATAAATGTACATGTTATAACTAATATTATTTTATTATAAATACATAGTCAATATTGTTAGTTTATAATAAATATATTACAATAAATTAAATAATTTATTTACAGGTTTTAATTGTTTATATACATGTTTGCGATTGCAATAAACAAATGTGTCACGTGATATATCTACAAACTATTCTTCAAAAATAATCTACTTACTTGTTTTATTAATTTAAATGTCATTCCAGTTATATCACCTTTATTTACTGCTTTTTGCCAACTGAGCGCTCAATATATTGGCAACGTGATTAAAAATCTTTAATAGCTTATAATAACTAACTTAACAATTATTATAGTCTCACTGTATTTGTATTATATTAGAGATCTCAGAAAGTTTTAAAGAGTAAAAACTCTATCTTGAAAATATTGAAGGTAGTTGTAGGCTATACATGTATTTAATATATACGTGTGTTAATTTTAAGATTATTACATCGAAATAGTGTCATCCTTACTTATTTTTTATGAACGATAATTTTCTCTTCAAGTAAACTACGAAAACGTGTCAAAAGAATTGTTATCAATATTGTAACACCAATATCTTTTATACTCCAACATGAGCATTCTTAAATTGTAAAAAAACATCAACGTATGAAATAATAATAAAACATGTCAAGAACAGAACTTTACATCATCTGAAGTAACCATTAATACCGGTAATGTTAACTAAATTTTACTAATTACTTCTACGCAATAAGGAAGTTTCTAAATCATTCTGTACACTTTTCTGTACAAAAAAATATCACGCTAAAAATATTGGAAGATTAATTTTATCAAGTTGCAGGTATTTTTACATGAAATAATAAAAGTGCACACATATACTGTTATAAAGCTATAAATAAATTATTACTGTTATGAGACTATAAATAAATGTTAAAAATCTTGGCTGTTAGTTTGCATGTCTTTCATTTATTTCCTGTTTTCCTATTGCACTAAACATGTAAGAAAAAAGTATAAACCACCATAAACGGATATATTTTTTTAATAAACAAATTTTTAAATAAAATTTATATATACACAATAGTAGAAAAATTAGTTCATTGCTTTACATATTTTCAAATCTATAGGTTATCATCTAATAAAATAATATTGATTTTGTGTTTTAATGATTGTGATCTATTTATCACTGCCAGGAGTTTTTAGTGTCTATCTCACAAAAAAAAGATTCTATTCTAGAGAGTATATTTTACACTTGTCTGTCTCTCTCTCTCTCTCTCTTTCTCTGTTTTTTATCTTAAAGTTTTTAATTGTTTTATATATCAATTTTTTTGTTTGTATCTATTAAATTATCAAATTTATTTAGGCACTATCATCCGAGAGGTTTGGATCAAAGTCTGGATCATCTTCATCATCATCATCATCCAAATCCAAATCGTCCAGATTTTGGAACAAACTCTCATCTACTTTTACAGCATCACCTGTGTAGTAAACAATATTAAGATATTTAATCAGATTTAGGGAATTCAAATAACAGTTTTCCTTACAAAAATTTATTACTAATAAGATCAAAATAAGGATTGAACTTGCACAAAAAATAAAACAAATCTATTACCATCGTCCAAGAATTTGAGGTCTGACTGATCCAATGTTTTATCAGTCATAAATAATTCCTTTCCTGTTAATTTTTTTCCTTCACGCTCAGCTAATTCTTTTCGTTTTGTGTGGCCCATTTCTTCATCAAACTTTTCCTTCCAGCTTAAGAAAGATTCCACAGTTACACGAGTTCCTTCAAACCTTTTCTATACACAACATATAATAAATATTATACTAATTACACAAAACTATTACTTTTCTGACAATGTTTTAAATGTCTAACCATTTCTGCTTCCTCTTCTTCCTTCAACTTCTGTGCTGCAGTCTCTTCTCTCCTTACTTTCACTTTATCCCATTGTACATTAAGCCATTCTTGAGCTGCACTAACTAATGTAAAAACCATCACCATACCCAGATTTTCATTCATCTGTTCCACCAGATGTTCCTTTAACATTTCATCGTCTCCATTGTCTAAATTTTCTTGTTCCGTAATTGATACAAGCAGCGGCTCTTCTGGATATCTTGGAGTGTAAGTAAACTCCAATCGACAACTAAGTCCGTTGTCAGTTTCAGGTTCGTATTCTTCGGTTTTAATTGAAATCGCAAACGTATAAAACGGTTCTGTTGCTAGAACTGCAAGATGTGTCATTGAAGTATTATAATAAGCAGTAACATTTTCGTAAAGTGTCTAAATTATCAAATATCGTTACATAGCTAAAAACTATCCTGATAAAACAACATTTACAAACTTATGTGACGAAATCTTGCACTAAAATTGTAATTTGCAATTATACAGATATACTTTAGGAAATAGATATAAAAACATTGATATTTTATAAAAAATAGAGTAAAAGTACCAGTTACTGTGTAGGTTCCGATTATTATGCCCTTTCTTTTATTTTTACAAATAACAAGATAAAGCACTATTAACATGAACATTTATTTTTTTAGTACAATTAAATTACATTTATGTTCCTGAATTATAAATATTTTATATTTACACTCTAAAATATTGAAAAAAATTACATTTTATAATACACGATTTTCTCATAATTGTTGTTGAAAAGTTTAAGAAACTCCGAAAAAAAAGGTAAAAATAAGAAAGTACCATATTTTAAAACATAAAATGTGTGTAAATATTTGTTAGTAAAAATCTCGTAGATTATAGAAATGCTACCATTTAAGTAATTTCATAAATGTTTTTATCTTAAATTACATGAATTCAATAAAATCAAAACAAATTTTTAAGCTTGTTTGTATCCTACCGTGTCAAGTATTTGAACAATATTTTCGTTGATGCGTCATTTAATGTGTTTTCTATTGATAACTGCCTACTTAACCTAAACCTAAGCCTAAACCTAAACTGGTTAACATAGTTGACATTAATTGCAATACAGCATGTGAACGAAACTTCGATTTCTTTCTAGCTTTTTATTAAATGCAATACTATTGATAAGTGTTAAATCGAATATAAATTTTTTTTCGAATATAAATTAATTTTTTATAAAAATAATTGTAATCAATATAAGCAAGTTGCGATTAGAAAGTAAAACTAAGCGTTTATCTTGATGAATAAAGCGGAGATGATAAATTAGAGCACAGTATTTTGTCTAATCTCACAGTATTTAGATGAAAGTATTTAGTACATTTTATTAGTATCTGGGGCACCGTATTCGAAAACTAAGCACAGTAATTCGCACACAGTAATTACGTCTTCAGCACACCCCACATAGTATCGTTAGTAGCACAAACGTTTCTGCAACGGGGTTTCCAAAACTTAATTGGTTCACTGGACTTTTTTCATATTTTCGATGATATTTAATATTTTATAAGCATTATATGTACAAAAAAATTGTATCAGTAGGAAACATAATAAACTATAACATACATGTTTTAAAAAGTGGGGAAAATAAAGGATATTAATTTAATTTAATAGAAAACGCGAGGATTAACCTTAATGGGCACAGTAATTTGTACTTTTACCATATTTGTAGTTGTTTGCAAAATTACTTTCCAAATACTAGTTCGACAAAAGAATAACGATATGGCGAATCATCTTAGCAGTATATTTGCAATATAGTTGCAAAATTAATTTAAAAAAAAGTGTTCAATAATTGAGAAAAAATTTCAGTTATGTGATGTTTAAAATATATAGAGAAATATAATTGCATATGAAGAAATGAACTTAATTCATGTATGTACTTAAGGAAATGCAGAACGACTTTCTCGCAATTTTTGACAAATATCATTTACAAAATTTTATTTCGACAAAACTGTTGCGTTATGGCGAATCATCTTAGTGCAATCATTGCATTGTCGTTATTCGTGATGCCATTTTTGTACAATACTTTCACAATTTGCCTATTAGGGTATATCTGTAGTCGCAAGAAAAAACGACACATGTCACAATTTCAAAAAATTCAAGTTTTTGCGACAGTTGAGTTGCGAAGTATAAGATTCACATATTTATGAAGGAAAAATGCAAAGAAACACATTTTAAACGATGAAAAAACTTATGCAAAACAACTTAAGTCCAATACTTGATTTGCATGTATCAGGCAAATCAACGTAAGTCCGAAAAATTGGCACAAACCAATGATTTTTTTGTATATATTTTTCTTGTAAATATTAGTCAAATTAAAGATAGTCAACATAGATATCATTAAAAAAACTAAACTGACTTCGTCAAATAGAGGAATTTGTATTTAAAACTTTAAACATTAATATCTCGAAAATGATGATGGGCGCTTTCCAGCTACGTACACAAGCGACGCTGTGTAACACAATACAATGTCCAGTATGAGTGAGACACACTGATATGCTCTTTCTCACACTAATGGACACAGGCTGCGTTCGTTTTTTACTGACAGTACTGAAAATCTATAGATTTATGTCACGTATACTATAGATTTTTCAGCACTGTCAGTAATACCAAAAGGAGATAGTGTCGCCTGTGTAACGTAGCTGGAAAGCACCCAATATATGACATACGGTATTTTTTCTTGCGACCACAGATATGTGCGTAGGTTAGGTTATGTGCTAGAGAATTCGGCAAGTACTTACTTTCCAATTCTCCACAATAGATTGACTCTAAAGCTTCGATTTCATTATGTTGTTCTTCTTTGTAGTCCATGGCTAATAAAATATAATCTAACACTATATATATGTGTATGTATATATATATATATATTACTTAAAACATTAAATGTAACTAATGGTATAGTGCGCAACTAGACATACAGCAATATCGTAACTTGTGCGGCATGAGACATAGGTTTGGTTTGGTGTCCTTATGCCTGTTCTACAATACAATCGTAAGCTGTTAGTCGTAAGAAATCGACCAATCACAAACAAATTACAGAAGAATAATTGATTGTGATTAGTCAAGTTCTTACGACTTACAGCTTACGACTGTATTGTAAAACAGGTCTTAAGGGCCTTCTACAATAAGATATTAGTAATAAATCAGAAGTCAGAAGCAAGAAATTGACTAATCACAATCGATTATTCTTCTGTGATTTGACTCTGATTGGTCAATTTCTTGCTTCTGACTTCTGACTTATTACTAATATCTCATTGTAGAAGGCCCTTTATTGCTAGTCTACAATGAGCGCTTTCCAGCTACGTACACAACGCGTCACTGAGGCCCGAATTCATAGTCGTCTCTCAGATCTCAGATCTCATCTCATCTCTTTCCCTCTCTTTTTCTCTCTCTCTTTCTCTCTCTCTTGAGATCTGAGATCTGAGATCTGAGAGACGACTATGAATTCGGGCCTGAATCGCGGAATAGGCGCGGGGATCGGAGGGCAAGCGGGGCGGTTGCTCGTAGCGCCAACAAGCGCCGTGCGAACTAACTAGTAGCAATCGGTTGTCCACAACATATATATAATACCAGAGAAAAACCTGAGAGCGGCCATGCCATTGTAGTTTCTTACAACGGCTTCAACCGCTGGTTTTAGCCGTATTTCCACAAAAGTGGAACTCAAAGGCCTTTCTTCATGAAACTGAAGTAGCAGGTCTCGTGGAACTGATCAATCACGTTGGTCGATTGGCTGATTTGACTCTGCAATTGGTCAATTCCACGAGATCTGATACTTGCGTTTAATGTAGAACGGCCTTTGAGTTCTACTTTTGTGGAAATACGGCTAAAACCAGCGGCTGAAACCGTCGTAAAAAATTACAATAGGATGGCCGCTCTCAGATTTCTCTCTGGTATTATATATATGCTTGGCAACGTCGCTAGGGCTACTTTATCTGTCTCTTTCTTTCTAGTCATGGCCATAGACGTATAATATATAGACTGCGCGTTTGGCTGAAAAGATGTCTTCAACGTTGAGAGAGACAACATACTTTGAATAGTAACTCTTTCTCTGTCTATCATTTTCTCCACTACTTTGCTAGACAAAGATGAGACTATTCATTACCAGCTGTCTCTCTCTCAACGTTGAAGACATTTTCTTAACATGGCAAAGGTAGGGAACGCGCAGTCTATATATTATACGTCTATGGTCATGCCGGGCATCCAGACTATGCACACGTATACGATGGATATATTGTGTTTTTGATAAATAAAATAAGATCGGAAGAATAAAAAAATTAAAATTATATACTGTACATAATCAATATTCAAAGTTTTGTTTCAACTGCATATCAAGTTTTCAGAAACACAAAAAATGTAATCAACAAAACGTATAAACATTTGTTTTGTATTTATATATTTATTTTTTTAGTCGTAATTAGTATGTATAAAATTTTAATTGAAATAACATAATTATCATAAAAAATTATAAGTATGTATAAAATGTATAAGTATGTATAAGTATGTATATAATTGTATAAGTATGTATATAATTGTATAAGTATGTATAAAATGTATAAAATTATAAGTATGTATAAAATTTTAATTGAAATAACATAATTATCATAAAAAATTATAAGTCAATCAATGAAAATAATGCTAATCCTATTCGTAACTTAACCTCTACTAATCATCACAGTTGTTCCATTTTTAATCACTCGATTTTTGTTTTTTTAAAAAACTTAATACCTTAGCTATAACTTTTTTATCTTTCGTAATTCTGACTGTATTTCCTACTTTTTCTGAAAATAAGTGTATTATTCCCTTATCTCCTTCTTTTTCAAAAGTTTCTAAAATGCAACTGTAATGAATTCCATGCCCAGCTAATCTCTTTAACATAGTATAAGAAATAATATCACGTAGTTCATTTACATACTGTAAATTTTTATTGACTTTTTGATTAAGCACAATACCGTCATAACACTCTTCAAATGTTTTATATAATTGCAGTAAAATATTTAAAATTTGAAATTTTTCTACAAGTTCATTTAAAATGATAACGTCGTACATAGCATCGTGAAAATTATGTCCATCTTCTAAAACTAAAAATTCTTTGGCTAGAGTTTCTAATTTAAACTTATCTTTACCTTTTCTTTCGGGCCAATATTTTTTGAAAGCTGTTAAACTATCTGAAAATCCTATAATATTTGTAAAATATTGAATCATATTATTGTTAACAATTGATTGTAATAGGTGACGTGAGTCAAAAGAAACATTGTGTGCTACTAACAAGCAGTACTTTTTTGGTAAATTATTTAGAAACTGTTGGAATAAAACCAATGCTTCAACGATTGTTAAGGTATTTTCAATTATTTTATCGTAATGATACAAACTACCGCTAATGAGACGGAATCCTGTGATCATACTGGCAGACAAAGCAATTCCTTTTACAGGTTGCACATAAACATTAAAAAAGTATTCTTTACATTTTGCAGCAAGTTGCAAAATTTCAGCATTATTTCCCAATCCAGTAGTTTCTAAGTCAAACAGCACTATATTGGCATCCAATAAATCTTTATCACAGTTATTTTTCATATGTTTAACAATTTGTTTTTTATTCTCTGTATCATCAAACCCGCAATTGCTTTTGTACATGACGCCTTCTACTTTTTCACAGTTTTGTCTCAATTTTTCTCTATTTTTCTTTAGTTCCAGCCTTCTTACTTTCTTTGATCGTAATTTATCTTTATTTTGAAAGTTTATTCGACTTTGTTTTTATTTGAATTCCGACTGAACAGCTTTTAGTTGCCAGCTCTTCAGAATTCGATCTTGCGACGACAACCGACTCGAGACAACCGTTTTCCTTAATGTCTTCTTCTTCTCCTTCCTTAGGCACAATACCAGCGTTGATACTAGCGGTGACTCTTTCGACCGACCTTGAAGAATGTTTTCGACTAATACGACTTTAAGGCACTTGGAATAACCGATAACCGAATCAAGGATATATGTATCTACCCTGACGAAAATGAGAAGTTTTATAAGCGTTTATTTGACGTTTGTATGAGCGTTTTGCGGAAATTCGTTGAAAGTTTTGAAACGATCAGTAGAGAATTCATAGAGCAGAAATTGCAACGCTACAGCGTTTGAAAGGCGTTTGTATAA